CGTATGCCGTCTCCAGCCATTATTAGTCTCAAAGTGGGTTCCTCGTCACCGAATTTGAATACTTTTATTCTATGTGATCCTGATGCTTATTTGTTGTTTACTTTGTAGAAGTAGGAGGTAATCCAGTGAAGCCACACACTCCCTTCTACCTTCTTACTTTCTCAGTCACACGATAACGCACATTCTCTACTACTCCCTTATCTTTTCGGTCACACGATAACAACTATTACCTCTTGTCTTCCCATTTTTTCAGTCACACGATAACACCTACTCCCTACTACCCCCTTAATTTCTTAGTTACAATATAACACTGTTTCCTACAACCTACTTATTTTTCTCAGTCACAGTATCATCCTATACTTTGGTAATTTAGTATTGTGCATAACAATTAGAAGTGTATGGTCCAAAAATAAACATATGTATATATGTAGAGGAAAACTGGTCATTAAATAACGGTTAAAAATGAGAAACAAAAGATAAGAAAAACTTTTATTATACGTACTATTTAGGACGTATATTAGTTTTCTCATTATAATGTTCAAAACTAAACTTTACGACAATGGAGCCTATTTGTTGATGAGGTTATGAAACAGGTAGATTACTAAGCCACCATTTACCAGTCATTACTTTATTTGGAACATGAAACAGCTAACCATGTTCTATGTATGAACGTAAAACTTGTAGAGAAGGCCCTGCCAGGTATTAAAATAATCGATATACAACATCTGTTCGCTTAGACCAAGTGGTGAGCGTGCCGAAAAGCACGTGATGCACATGAACTACAAGCTATAGTGTGGATGTGCAAATATCTCACCATGATATAAAGTAATACATGGTATTTTGTATGCAGCTATAAATTCTATTTTTTTTCAGTCACAAACAAATTTCACGATTATGATAAATGATTACAGCAATACTTCTACAAAGGATTGAGTATGTTATTACAATTTTGAACATGCAAATCAGCAGGTTACGTGACAACCACAGCCATTATAAAGTCGCGATGGAACGACATGTATCAGAACTACATTTTGAAATTGTTTGGCCTTACATAAGTAGTTTCTTGTTAATGAAAAAAATAATCGCTTTTAGAATGGATATTCAAATACTCATTTCGGATGCAAAATATTCATACATTCAGATCATACAGATAGATGCAGATCGGAGGTTTAGAATTTACAATAGAATATCAATATCAAGAATACAATAGAATATTAGAATATCCTTTGTGCTTAAATCCATTAGAAAACAAAGGAATACGGATCAACTTGGTGCATCAAGACCATCCAGAAAGAGACCTGCAACAAGTTATACTTGAGTCGTGGTAAAAAAATGTAGAATCTTGTAACAGGTATGAATCCACGGGCAGAAAGGCCAGTGACAAAAGATGTTCATGTGACCAAGACAACAGTATTAAATACAATCAAGAAGAATCTCTGTCTGGAAAAGTGAAACAAGTCACTTGTGCAAGCTGTTTCCATGATGTATCCGTTCAACTGTCATAGACTTGATGAAAGTGAAAATAAAACGAGCATTCAAGTAATTTCAAACAAAGACATATGGATCAAGTCACCAAATTCAGCGTCTATGGATTTCTGTGGGGTCGGACTGTTGAAATGGGCGCTGGAAAAACCGTGGTCCTCGTACACAGATTATCTATGGAGAACATGAAGTGAGAGTTGTGTGCTTTTGACAGGACAGATGAAGCGTTTTGCAATGGAAACAGCGATGCATGTCTATTGTCAAGATGCATAACCATCAGACAGTGCTCGACCGGACGCGTCATCATGGACAGCAACGACTTGATAAGGCTTCAAAGTTGTTTTGATATAACATACTCAACCTCTGTGTGTTAAAATAGTCTAAAATAACCTAACTCTATACATTTTTTAAACAGTTCACTACGTACACAACGTCTGATTTTTGATACAATGAATAGAAGGCAAAGCCTATTGTTCCAAGACATGCAGCCCCAAGAATGGTCACCAGAGGAAGGATCTGTTATAAGAAATAAAAACATATTCATTTTAGTTTCTTATGATCAAATTTTGATTTTTAATTATTGAAAAAGTTTCAAAAAGCGTAAAACTAGTAAACTATACAAGAATTACATTATTCAAGTTTACTATTTGAATAAAATATAATCCATGTTCAAAAACTGGTTGTTTTGTTTGTTTGTAGTTAAGCACAAAGCTATACAATGAGCTTTCTGTGCTGTGCTTACTACGGGTATCGAAACCCGATTTTTAGAGCGATAAGCTTTTAGAGTTTCCGTGTGTTATTGAGACGAGGGGGGCATTTAAGAACGAAACTCCGTTGAGAAAAAACAAACTAGCAGTTTCTTAGTATTTTATCCCCCAATGACACACGGTTAGTATAAAGGCTTGTTACTCTTAAAACCTGATACTTATGATGAGCACAACACAGATTGTTTAGCTTTGTGCCTAATGACAAATAAACAAGAAAAACTCTTAAGGAAAATCATGCAATAGTTTAATTCTTAGTCATTGTTTGTAAAATTTCAGCATAAGGGTACATTAATTCGTGAGAAATAGCTTAGCTTATCATTGGTCATGTCAAAATGCAGTGCAGGGGACAACATGATTAAGTATGCAACGCAATTACAAACGTATTATGTTGGTCCTTTGTTTTCACAATAATACCGCCAAGAAATTAATCTTCTATTATGTTTATGTTTGGTTGCTGTTTAGTAAAAAGCTACACAATAGGCTATCTGTGTTTAGTATCGAACCCAAATTGTTAGTGCTTTAAGACCTTAGACTTGCCGATGACTTATCGGGGTCTTCTGTTATTGAGGAAAGTTCTTATTTGTGCTTCATATGTTATTAAATACTAGAAAAACTAATAAAAACGTTTTCACCAAATTGCAAAATTCTTAACTAACAATTATCTACTATCAGGTAGCGCCAGATTCAACATACAAAGATCTAGTTTCATAGAGATACTTAAACCGCGAGTTCGTTAGGAACAATGCCCATCATTAAAAATACCTTTCAAGGTTGAGTTAATGTCGATCCAATCTTCCTTTTCTTAAATTTTTCTTAGTTGAACGAATGAACCTTACTGATTAATAAATAAAATTTGGAGTGATTAAAGTTTTTCATTTATCATTTATTTTCCAAACATTATTTAGAAAATAGTGGTTATATGTTTTGAAACTAAACTGTATTTGTTACCATTAAAACAAGAACAATACATCAACTCTATGTGGCAGTGTTTAGTCTAGGCTGTAGTTCCCCTACCCCTCTAATGTGACAAACTAGCTTTACAAGGCTTCTTTCATTATACTGAAAATTGGTTGTTTGTTTGTAAGTAAGCACAAAGCTACATAATGGGCCACCTGTGCTCTGCCCACCTCGGGTATCGAAAACCGGATTCGAGCGTTGTAAGTCTGCAGACATCCCGCTGTGCCACTGGGAGGGGGGGCTATACTGAAAATAACCTGCTCTTATCATGTACTGTAACATACAATAGTTGTTATCTCATTTCCATGGTTACAATTTATAAATTCCTCTATGAACGTGTACATTAGATAAAGACATTACACGTGCTGTCTGTGACAAGAGTTTTTTTTACAGATAACGCAAAGCAATAACTGTTTTTATTTTTCTCAACTTCGTTAAATGTGTTAAGCGTAAAAGTTAAAAATTAATTTGTCTGTAATACTTCCCTTTATAAAATGAGAAATTATTATATATTTACTTTTCGTTGCTGCTAAATAGATTTCGTTCTAATGAAACGTTTTTACACGAAACTAATATATTTCCTGATAAGGCGTAAACAAAACATACTGTTCTGTAAACAAAGAGATCCTGTAAGGTGTTTACTTTACACATAATTGGGAACCAACTACAGCCTTAAGGCACAAAATATAGTTTTCTTCACCATACAGTGCTCTTTAATTCTGTTTAGTGACGTGTAAAATCGGTGATTTATATCAGTATATCATAAAAGGTATTATATTCCATTATTTGGGGCTTTAACAAAAATAAGACTACTGAAATGTCAGAAATAATACTGCTATATCATATAATGTAAACATGAGGCCAAATCCGAGTATAACTAAGCCATCGAAGTTTGAGGTATTATGTATCCGCTGCCCAACTTTCATTATTCTACATCAACTATTTACTGAAATATGATGCAACGCAGTATATACGCCACGACAAAAGTGGCGTAATTTTCAGTCGGTAGTATATTATAATTGGATTTATGCCGTAAGCATTTTATGGTTCCACTCCTAAAAGATGACAGAAAATGCAATTATCAATATATATGGCACCGCCTAAAACTGTGATAAAATGGAATTTATAACACTAGAGCTAATGTTTCTCCATACCATATATATCAGTTTAGCACTGAGCTCTCCGCGAGTGTCGGCCTAACGTATATTTTTATATATCTTGAACTACATACTGATGTACAGACGCAATGGAAATCCAGTACCATATTTAAGAGACCGCATGACAGGAATATTTTATTCTCACGCTGAATAACACAAGTAAACAGTTTGCTCTTGATGAAGAAGGATCTACTTTTCGAAAGCGCTCGAGTTATAGGGTTTCGTATTTCTGTCTTTAACTGCATTTATTAACGTGCATGTTTTTCTAACATTAATATGACGAATAATAAATGCATCAGCTATATGATTTAAATGTAATAGTGAACCGTTACTGCTCTGCAGTAAAAAAAAAAACGGCAAGATATTTTTCAGGAACTTAGAAGAAAGTTTCGTATTTTAAAGGAAAATATTTAAAAGAGCTTTATTAATAAATGAGAACATTTTCTACAATATTATAGAAATTTATTGAAACAATCCGTATTTTAATAAGATTCCTTAGATTGTTTTTCGATAAGAAAAAGTGTCTGGAAATGTGCTGCCAGTATCTTTTTTTGTACGGTGCATATACTAGAAATTTATTGAAACAATCCATATTTTAATAAGATTCCTTAGATTGTTTTTCGATAAGAAAAAGTGTCTGGAATAGTGCTGCCAGTATCTTTTTTTGTACGGTGCATATACTAAAAATTTATTGAAACAATCCATATTTTCATAAGATTCCTTAGATTGTTTTTCGATAAGGCTTTATAAAAAGTGTCTGGAAATGTGCTGCCAGTATCTTTTTTTTTGTACGGTGCATATACAAGATGTTTGCAATATAATTTTGTTTATATATGGGTTCCCGAAGCCTGTATATGATTTAAAAAGACAGTTTAGACTAGAAGCCACCGATGTATACAATTATAGTAACAAGAAATATGTAAGCACAAGAGCTAATGCTGAGTTAACACGGCTTAATGCCCCTCAGTGAACTGTGGCTGTTTCTATTTGTAGAGCAGGGATATTGGACACGTCAATCAAGACTTTCGCTCGAAGTTCATATGTTTGTAAGTAGCTACATATTTTATATACACGGTTTGGCATAATTACCGCCATTATCAATTTTTACTCTAGATTTAGTACTACCCGAGACCATAATCCCAGGAATTGACGTCATGAAAAGGCTAGATGGCTGCATTCGAGACCAGAGATTTTTGAATCATGAAATTATTTTTGAAATCAGCTGAAGAATAGCGAATGTTTAGAGTTATTTGATATTTTACTATAAAACTTAATTAGCTCCATTACTGTAATGTTCTATATGGTAACTGGAAATCGTCTGCTATTTTGTTTTAGGATTTTCTCGAGAGGGGAGGAAAACACACCGAAATAGATAACATTTCCATTTTTTACGTAGTTTTGGCTTTGAATTTAAAGATGCAAGTACTTAATTAGTTAAATGAATCAGTTACTACCTTGAAAAAACAGAGTATGCAATGAGCATCCAATGAGGTAATTAGGGACTTAATAACAAAAAAAAAAAGAAAATAAAGGAGGAAGGGGAACATTATTTAACATTGTTGTTTATATAGTTTTTGCTCCCTTAACGAGTATCATTAGGTATTATTAAATATATAGGAGCATATATCATGTTCAGAAAACGTAGGAATATCAGCTGGGATTAGTTTCAGCCCAATAACTATAGGTGTACAAAACAATATGTGTGTGTACAAGAATGGCTAAATAATACGAATTACATGAGTCACAATTAAGAATAAATCATTACTCAAACATTCTTATGACCTGAACAAATAGCTATTTACCTATCGTCCAAGTTTACTGTTAGATACCAGAACTTTTCTACCTGAGTTTTTTCGTCTTGTTTGGATGTGCTTCCTCTATTCTAAAAGTGACATCAATGAAAGAGCTATCCGCCTTCGATTATCATCTCCAACACTGCAATAAGTTTGTTATCGTGGCTGATTTGTGTCTTTATTAAGAACTTTGAATATTCTAGCCAGTTTTTAGTCATATTTTACGGAAATAATTAGAAAAACTATTTCTTAGAAGTGAGCTGGTATCTATCGTTTTAAGCTTCTGGTCAGTGACATTTCTATCCTGTATGGTCCTATCCCTTTGACTTTAATATGAACCTTAGTTTAGATAGAGACCGACTGACCTGCATGCACTGATGTTATGCGGTGAGACAGTATTGAGTATATATATATACATTTCTGAATTTGATAACTTAAGAATGACCAAACCTAATATTATAAATTTAGGCGCGATCATTCAACTGTTAAATTGAAGATCGACCTTCCATTTCAGATATAAATAATTCGTTTCTGTATTATGATATAATTTTCCAATGAATATCAATCAATAATCCTCTAAATTACAGATATAAAGTTAACTAAGACTAATTCTGTAAAGGCCCTTAAAACTCTGCGGTTATTCTGTTCGTACACAAGAGAGATTTCAGTAAGAAACCAGACATACTGACTACAACTCTAAAACTCTGCAGTTCATGTACTATAAGGTAGGCGATGAACCTTAGATGCAACTTTTGGTCAGAAACATCACAGTTTGTTTAGACCTTTGCCACTCCTTCACGTATATACCTTACAGTACCAACAACGCAGAGTTAACTAAACAGATATCGTAACGTAATAATCAGCATTTTGATTTCAACATTACTTTTGTTAATTTTGAAACCTTACAGTACCAACAACGCAGACTTAACTAAACAGATATCATAACGTAATAATCATCATTTTGATTTCAACATTACTTTTGTTAATTTTGAAACCTTACAGTACCAACAACGCAGACTAAACAGATATCATAACGTAATAATCATCATTTTGATTTCAACATTACTTTTGTTAATTTTGAAACCTTACAGTACCAACAACGCAGACTTCATAACGTAATAATCATCATTTTGATTTCAACATTACTTTTGTTAATTTTGAAACCTTACAGTACCAACAACGCAGACTTAACTAAACAGATATCATAACGTAATAATCAGCATTTTGATTTCAACACTACTTTTGTTAATTTTGAAAATACATTTATTCAGTAAAACGGTAAAAAAGTAAAAAGGCACTGTTCGCTGATCTTTACCTTCAAACACTTCCAATAAATCCGTTTTAGAAAGATGTTAAAAACAAAGCTGTACTGGAATACACAGGATGACATATGTCTTATCAAAAACAGAATTGTATGTCGTTAACCAATACAACTTATTTTATTTTTAATAGCCGTTACTGTCAATTTCTTTAATTTCAAATTCCAAATAATTAATTTGTTTGTTTGT